CGGTCGCTAAGGTGGAAGTCCGGCGATGGTTGGCGGATGAGCGGTGGTTTGACGATGGTAGGGTTGGAGTCCGACGGCGGCCGAGCATCGGGTGGAAGTTCGTCGTCGGTCGGCGGTCGTGCGGTGGTCCGAAGAAGGTCGGGATGAAGTCCGGCGGCGGTTGTTGGGCGGGATAAGGTTTTACATCGGTCGACGGTCAAGCAGTGGTCCAACGAAGGATGGTTGAAGTCCGGTGGCGCTCGTTAGCCGGGCGTAGGTCGGCGGCCGGGCGGTTGTTCGACGAAGGTCGGGCTTAAGTCCGGTGGCTATCGTCAGCCGGGCGAAGGTCCGGCGACGATCTTCGGCTGGGCGATGGTCCGACGAAGGTCAGCCGGAGGTCCGGCGGCGGTAAGCGGCCGGGCGTTGGTCAGGCGGCAGTCGGCGGCTGGGCGGTGGTGCTAGAGCTCTTGAAGCTTCAGAGCTCTCTCCAATCTTCAGCCAAATGTCCCTTTCATATAGAGAGTGGGGGTATATTTATAGATTTTCATGAGTGGTGCACCCCATAAATTTAGAGAAGTTATGGGGCAAGTTCTGAGTGTTCCATTGGATGGCTCGTATTGATTCCCATTATCATATGGAGTTTTCAATTGTTTAAGTGCCTTAACAATGTTGGAATTCAGATATCTTGGGCTCGTTGGATTTGTCTCGTCGAGCCGCTCGATTTGACTATAAGCATGCCATATTTGGATATCATTTTATCATCCAAATAATGCTTTGACCCTTCCAAATGTGGTACGGGCCCTCGATTCAGACCCATTTGAGCTTGGGTTGGACCAATTTGGTGTTGTTTGGTTTGTCTCTTTGAGATATTCAGTTTGACTATAAGTTTGATGAAATTGGAATTCAGATTATCCCGATTAATTTTGAATGTTTTCAACTTGAATATGCCTAGAGATTCATGCTCAATCAAAGCAATTTTAGAGGACATATTAGTTGCCCCTATTTTTGGATGTTGAATATGTATAGTCCAAAAATATATCCATGATTTTAGCGTTCTGTGAAATCAGAGCATTAATCAGAACAAAAATGTCAAAAAAGTTTACTCCAAAAATTTTTTAAATAGCTCAAAACTTATCTTAGAGACTTTTGAGCCTCAAAAGTATTAAAATTGAGTCCAAAATATAATTATGTAGACAAAAAAATATTCAAATCGAAGTGATAATCATATAATTAATTATTTAATGAATTCGTTTTAAACGAATATGCAGTAATTAATTATAGTTAATAATTTAATATAATATAATAATATCTATCATAATTACTGTTACGTATGTCATGATTGACATTACCTTATACATATATAAATATATATAGTTTGTTTATTATATGTAGAAAGGCATTAACTATTACCTTAAATAGTAGTATTAACTCTTACCCGCCGCTAAATAGGCATAATTTTATTTTTATGATGAATTAATTTAATTAAGTAAGATCTTTAATGGTAAAATATTATTTTTGGCTTCAAGAATTTCTAAAAAAATTTAAAAAAAAAATCTTAAAAAATAAAAAAAAAAAATTCATGAAAGGAAATAATTTATTTCCTGCACATTTATTTTATTTTTAAATGAATTGCTCTTAATTTATTTCTTATTTCATTTTTTTAATAATAGGAAATTATTTAATTTTGGGCATTAAAAAATTCCAAAAATTAATAAAAAATTCAGAAAATTTCTCTCCAAACCTCCTTTAAAGAACTATAAATACACCCCTTAGGGGCCAGAAAAAAGGCACCACCTCTCTTTTGTCGATCCCAAAATTTCTCCTACAAAAGTAGGAGAAATTAGACTGGCTAAAATAAAAAAAATTGACGACAACGATCAAGATCTGGTAATCTTACGCAGGCTCCAATTCACTCCCAGCGTGAAAAAAACTGTCTGGCAAGAGTTTAAATATCAGAGGCGGCGATCAAGGCCCGGTACTCTTACGCATGCTCCAATTCACTCTCATTGAGGGAAAAATTATCCAACAAGAGTTTAAATACCGGAGGCGGCAATCAAGGTCTGGTACTCTTACGCAAGCTCCAGTTCACTCCCATTGGGGAAAAACTGTCCAGCAAGAGTTTAAATACCGGAGGCGGTGATCAAGGTGGCGGAGGCGATCAAAACCTGATACTCTTACGCAGGCTCTAGTTCACTCCCATTGGGGAGAAAACTATATGGCAAGAGTTTAAATACCGGAGGCGGCGATCAAGACCAGAGACTCTTACACAGGCTCCAGTTCACTCCCATTGAGGGAAAAACTGTCCGGCAAAAGTTTAAATACCGACGGTGGAGGTGATCAAGACCCGGTACTTACGCATGTTCTAGCTCACTCCCACTAGGAGAAAAATTGTCCGGCAACAGTCTAAATACTGACGGCGGAGGCAATCAAGACCTGGTACTCTTATGCAGACTCCAGTTCACTTGCAATGGGAGAAAAACTATCCGATAAGAGTTTAAATACTAGAGGCGGCGATTAAGACGGTGCAGGCGATCATGACCCGGTACTCTTACGCAAGCTCCAATTCACTCCCATTAGGGGATAAAATGACCGGCAAGAGTTTAAATACTGGAGGCGACGATCAAGGCACGATACTCTTATGCAGGCTCTAGTTCACTCCTATTGGGGGAAAAACTATTCGGCAAGAGTTTAAATACCGATGGCGGAGGTGATTATGACCCGTTACTCTTACGCAGGCTTCAGTTCACTCGCACTTGGGGGAAAACTATACGACAAGCGTCTAAATACCGGAGGCGGAGGCAATCAAGATCTTGTACTCTTACGTAGGCTCCAATTCACTCCCATTAGGAAAAAAATGTCCAATAAGAGTCTAAATACTAGCGATAGAGGTGATCAAGACCCGGTGGTTATAATTTTCCCTTATTGTGAGGCGAATGTCGTCCGCAAGAGCTGAGGGTGCCTTGAATAGTATACAAAAGTTTGTCATGACACATCTAATAGGAGGCAAACTTCAAACAACCAAGAGGATATTCCAGGTATATTATTTTTCCCTTCTTCTCATTTTCTGATCCGCCCAACATTAATCTTGAAGCATTATCTATTTCTTTATGTGTGCCCCTCTAGGCGGCAGGCTGTTAGATATATACTATGTGTTGTTCCTTCTACCAGTGTAGTTATTGAGCTGATGCCAGGTTCTCAGATGGTCGATGAGAGTAGGAGATTGATGTTAACCTATGTGGAAGAGGTCGAGAGAATCCACCAAGAATGTATGACCTATCTGAGGTTATTTATCAGTGTTATTCGATGATATCAAGTTTTGTGAAATAGGTTGAGAGGATCCACTAAGGATGTCTTACATATTTGAGGTTGTATATCAGAGTATTGTTCGATGACGTTAACCTATATAGAAGATGTCAAGAGAATCCACCAAAGATGTATGAACTATCTGAGGTTTCATGTTAGAGTACTGCCCGATCACGTTAACCTATATGAAAGAGGTCAAAAAATCCACCAAGGATGTATGGCCTATCTGAGGTTGTATGTCAGAGCGCAGAGCGCTGCTTGATGACATTAACCTCTGTGGAAGAGATCGATATAATCCACTAAGGATGTATGACTTATCCGATGTTGTATGTCAGAGTGCTACTCGATAACATTAACCTTTGTGGAAGAAGTCGAGAGAATCCACCAAGGATGTATGATCTATCTAAGGTTGTATGTCAGAGAACTTCTTGATGACGTTAACTTGTGTGGAAGAGGTTAGATCGAATTCCCCTGAGATCAATTTTTTTTTTTTGTCTGGGAGGGGGAAAATGCTACGTGTATCCCATATCAAAGATGAAGAATTATATATCTTTATACCGTTACAACATTTTTGAGGTCAAGATTAGGATCTTGCCTAAGGAGTAGAAGTCCATCTATGGGCTGTATAATTTATTAGAAGTATCGTTGTATGTGCTAGCAGCTTTATGATCCCAAAATATCATCTTATATATTGGAAGATTTGGAGGAATCTTCTTGACCATGACTGTAATCAAATTGCCCCCCAGTCCACATTTAATTTCTATGAAATTGAAGCAACAACAGCTGATGACAGTATGTTGACACGAATGACACTTTGTGGTTGAACCAAAATTTTACCCCCCAGTTGGGAACCATGTTTCCACAGATGGCGCCAAAGTGTTGTGTCCAGAAATAATCATGACGGTAGATAAATATATAGTTTAGCGTCTTAGCATTGTACGAAGATCCAACACACAAGCAGATGAAAGAGATAGTGTAACGTTTATAAGAGACACCAGAGTTTTTATATGGAAACTCCTGAAAAGGGGAAAAAATCATGGGGCTTGGCCCAATTTGAATGAATCCACTAGTGTTTGCAATCAATAACAAATTAGGCCCTTCCTTGGGGGGAAGGCTTTGGTTTGACGTAGCAAATATACATCATATAAAGTGCCTTACATGGTGGAAATTGGAATAATAAACATTGATTTGTTCGTTTGATCAGTGGGGCCATAGTTGGCAGGCAACGAAGGTCAGAAGGATCGAAGTCGGCGGGCGATAGAGGTTCGAAAGATCATTATCTTGCAACGAAGGTTCGAATGACCAAAGTTGGCAGAGGAGTTCGAAAGAATCGTAGTTGGCGTACGACATAGGCTGAAATTCAAGTGATGGGCAGATGTTTTGTGTTGGGAAGAAGTCCGATGAAAATCCGACGATGAACATAAGCTAGGCGTCAGGTAGAAATCTGGCGATGGTCGGCGGCCGGTGTAAGTCCAGCAACTGTCGGTAACTGGTGGTGGCCCATCGACGGCCATGCCAAAGTTCGGCAGTGGTCGACGGCCGGGTGGTGGTTTGACGATGATCGGGTTAAAATTCAGTGGCTGTCAGCAGTCAGGTGGAATTCCGGTTATAATCGATGGTTCGACGACAGTTGAGATGGAGACCGGCAGTGGTCGACAACCGAGTGGAAGCCTAACGGTGGTCAGTGGATAGGAGGTGGTCTGACGGCAGTCGGGCTGATGTCCGGTGGTGGTCAATCGTTATTCGTTAGGTGGAAGTCTAGCGACTATAGACGGACGGATTGTGGTTTGACGACGGTCGAGCTGGAGTCCGGCTGCGGTCGGCCACTGGGTGGAAGCCGACGATGGTCGACGGATGAGCAGTGGTCCAATGATGGTCTGGCTGAAGTCCGACGGCGGTCGACCGTCGGGTCAAAATTCGGCGTCGGTTGGCACCCGAGCGGTGGTCTGACGAAGGTCGGGATGATGTCCAGCGACGGTCGTCGTCCGGGAGATGGTCCGGCGTCGGTTGGCGGCCGGTGGCCGGGCGGTGGTCTGTCGAAGGTCGGCTGAAGTCTAGAGGCGCTCGTCGGCCGGGCAAAAGTCTGTCTTAAGTCGACGGCCGGGCGGTTGTCCGATGAAGGTCGGGCTAAAGTGTGGCAGCAGTCGTCGGACGCGGAAAGGTCGGGAGGCAGTCGGCGGCCGGGTGGTGGTCCAACGAAGGTCAGGTTGAAGGCAGGCGACAGTCGGCGGCCGGGCGAAGGTCCGACATCGTTCGTCGGCCGGGCGGTGGTCTGACGAAGGTTGGGCGGAGGTCTGGTGGTGGTCTGCTACCGGGAGGAGGGAGATCCGGTGGAGGTCGGTGGCATGAAGGAGGTCAGCGGTCTGGCAGCGGTCGGCGGCCGGGTGATGGTCTGGCGGCAGTCGACGGCTGAGCGGTGGTGTTAGAGCTCTTGAAGCTTCAGAACTCTCTCTAATCTCCAGCCAAAGGTCCCCTTCAAGAGAGTGGGGGTCTATTTATAGATTTTCATGAGTGGCGCACCACGTAAATTTAGAGAATATCTGGGCAGGTTCGGAGTGTTCCATCAAATGGCTCATATTGATTCCACCGATTATAGAGAGTTTTTTAACTGTTTAAGTTCCTTAACAATGTCGGAATTCAGAGATCTTGGCTCGTTGGATTCGTCTCGTCGAGCCACTCGATTTGACTATAAGCATGTCATATTTGGATATCATTTTATCATTCAAATAATGCTTTGTTCCTTCCAAATGTGGTACGGGCCCCTGATTCGAACCCATTTGGGCTTGGGTTGGACCAATTTTGGTGTTGTTTGGTTCGTCTCTTTGATATGTTCAGTTTGACTATAAGTTTGCTGAAATTGGAATTCAGATGATCCCAAATTTAATTTTGAAAATTTCCATGAATATGCCTCGAGATTCGTGCTCGATCAAAACAATTTTTGAGGATGCATAAATATAAATTTTTATGTATGCATATATGGCATATATTCATCAATTAAAATTTTTGAGTAAATTATTACATAGTTTCTATATACACACAACGAGTTAAATGTGGACATGTGGTCAAATTGACAATTGATTTCTCAAGTAAAAAACAAAAGAAAAATCAAAGTTGAAAAGCAGAACTGAACACGGACAACAATTTTTTTTTTTTTTCCGGTCCCTTCTAATCTACGTATTGGCTATTTCCGCGTCCAGAAACCCAAGATAGATTCCTTCTAATCTCAATATTTCTCCTTGTAGTTGTAGGGCGCATTTGGGATGGTTGCAGCTGTTGATAAAGCAGGTTGTAAAGTTGGTATATAAAAGATGCTTTTGCTACACGCAAAATATAGTTGTACTTCCGATTTCAAATCCCACTCCACTCAGAAGTCCTCCGCCGTTCAGGATTTGATAGAATCGATTCGCTGGGTTACCAACTGGGTTAGGGTTTCTGATGAGATTCTATTGAATCTTGAACGGCATAGGACTACTTTATTTCCCAAAGAAGTCCTCCGCCATTCAGGATTCAATAGAATCGCATCAGAAACCCTATCCCAGTTGGTAACCCAACGAATCGATGAGGCACCGTGAGGAATCCAAGGGGTTTGGGGGCATAACACGAAGAATGGCGAAGAGGAAAACTTAGGGAATTCTAGGGTCTTGGGAAGGCCGATCCCGCCGATTCTGCGGGTGAGGGAAGAGAAGAAAAGAGAAGAGAGAGAATACATGGAAAGTTGGCAGAAAAGAAGGTGATAGGGTTTCACTTGAGGGGAGAATTGTAGATTGCAGATTTTGTGCGGATGAAGACGACGAACCTTTGCACAGCGAATAGAAACTGAGGTCATTTATGTATTTTTTCACATATGAACCACGAGAAGTAGGACATCACGGGGGATTGACCTTAGACTTTTTGAAGGAACTATCCATATCATGTGCAATAACATAAGAACAATTTGTATTTCAAAAAGTCCAATTCAATATTCCTGCACGAAGCACATTGATATTAGACATCATTTCATTAGGGATCATGCAATAAAGGGATACATAGAATTACATCATTTTTCCATTGAAAATTAATTAACATACATTTTTTTACCAAACTCCTTAATTATGACACATCTCATACGCTTAGAACTTTAGGTGTCATTATATTCATGCAAAGAATTTTGGGTAGAGGTAAGGTTATGTGAGCGGGTTTGCTTGCTTTATTTTTGTAGTATATTTGTGTGTTTATTTGTTTTATTTTTATGTTATATATATCAAATTAATTTATCTCTATCATGAATTATGATTATTTTTGTATATTTTTTATATTATAGAATTTTCTCTAATCATCACACATAAAACCCTAAAATTTTTGTTCACATCATACTATACAATGCACACATTGTACTATACGATCCACATATGATTCGATCATTGGCTTTAATTATTTTCATATGAACTATTCTAGATGATTAATTATTGTTAATCATATTGTATGAATTACTCATCGTATTGTACATTATCTTTTGGTCAACATTTGTACAAATGACTTCTCAAAATATTGGATTTTATACTGATTTTATTGTATGATACCCTATTGTAATTTATGATTTGGACATAAACTGTGTGTTCCTAATGAGACATTTGGACGGGCTTGATCATACTATACAAGCCACCAATCATATTATATGATCGACCTGAGCTATTTAAGGAAAGGGAAATTATTCATTTCATTTACACTTTCAAATTCTAATTTTTCTCACATCTATAAGCTCTATTTTATCACTTAAATCTCTATGGTTACACCAAAGCAAGGACGTGTAGAACTCCACCAAAGGGTGGACGCCGGGTTCCAATGTGAGGAGGATGAAGATTCCTATGTTTGAAATAGAGTAACCTCCATTACTCATTAAAAATTCTAAATACAAAACTATTTCCTTCCAGGTACTTGACCTATTTTATATGTCCATACTTTAATTCATCATTTTCTTTGCTTTTCCATTCCACACTGAGTTGTTATTATAGTATTTTGCAAATCTCCAGGTCACCTCCCATCGCACTACTCTTCAACCAAAAGTTTGTCAATGACGGGTCACTATAACCGTAGATGACCTTCATGAGCTTATTCACCTTTCAAATGCTGGTCCCTCTCCGCATTTTATTTTTGGATCTTTAGGTTATAATTGGACCCAATTCAACACTCTTATAAGGAACTATCCTATACCTCACCACCAACCCTTAGTGAGTTCCTTAGTCCTCAATGCTTGTGTCATGTAGCACGTTCTTTGAAATCATTCCTAAAATTAGTGATCGAGTTAATGTAACTCCTCTTATATCCAAAATCACCTAATATTGCATGTCAAGCACATAGTTGAATGCATATGACATGATCTTTATATACATTAAAAACTCAGATCTATTCGGAACTCATGAGCCCAATGAAAGAAAACCTAGTCTTATAACATGTCATTGGCTAAAAACCAATTATAACCTGACCTATCTTGCATAGTATATATATATATATATATATATATATTATTCAATCTTGGACGATATTGTTCAATCTCATAATATATATATATTATTTAAAAATTTAATTTGATTTAGAATGACAAATTAACTTTCTCGAATGACGAATGAACTTGCCGACTCCCATTCTACCCATCAAATACCTGCAGAGGACAAGAAGAAAACAGAGAATACCAGCAAAGAAGAGAAAGGAAACACAGAGAATTAGAGTTCAGAAGCGAAGAAGAAGAAGAAGAAGAACGGAGTAGAGGGTAAAATACTTTCAGGAATTTTGTATTCAAATTCTCATCTCTCTACAGTTCTCCTTCTCCTATCTATACTGGAAGTAATTTTGCTAAAAGAAAATAAAGCCATACTAGGCATAAACTGCTAAAAACAGAAAAATGATATTAGGTGGTAGTGGAGCCTGCGGTTCGTTAGAGAAAGCATTTGGTAGTCTACTGGGTTAGGATAGACCACATCAAGCATCATCTGTTGTTGCTGCTGCTGTAGCAAGAATGACTGTTGTTGTTGAGCCATGGCTGCCATTTGGACAGAAAGGGGCGCAACAACTGTGTTAGATGGGTAGAATGGGACATAAGTCATGCTTGTCTGTTGCATCATGGGGGTTTGCTCCCATGGATTGTAGTAGCTTGTTGGCTGGTTTGCTCTTCTGATTGCATCATCGTATAAACTGTCCAATGTGAGCTTATTCAGATTATGAACGTGATGAAATTTTTTTTTGGACATTTAGGTTAATTAAAGCAGATTCATACACACATCGCATATACAATACTCAAATCCAAGACCTCTTAGTTGACAGCCTAAGCTCCCAACCAACAAGCGAAGATGAAAGCTGTACGTGATGAGATGCCAACAAGATAAAAAGTCAATTGGTTACAATGCATTAACAATAGAAACTGTACAGAGAGAGACCCCCGTAGGACTGGATAAGCTCACATTGGACAGTTTATACGATGATGCAATCAGAAGAGCAAACCAGCCAACAAGCTACTACAATCCATGGGAGCAAACCCCCATGATGCAATAGACAAGCATGGCTTATGACCCATTCTACCCATCTAACACAGTTGCTGCGCCCCTTTCTGTCCAAATGGCAGCCATGGCTCAACAACAACAGTCATTCTTGCTACAGCAGCAGCAACAACAGATGATGCTTATGATGGGTCAGCAACAGCTCCACCCGCTGAACCCGAACCCGCCGGTTTTCAGCGTTTTTCCTGTAGTGGCGGTTGCGCTCTGTTCCACTGTTTCTCCGGCCATCCTATCTTACGTTATTCATCTGGCCTCTACATCTGCGATTTGGCAGACGCTCGAAAAACGTCTCCAATCATCCAATAGATCTCACGTTATTCAGCTAAAAAATGAGCTTCATAACGTCCAGATGAAATCGCAAAGCATGACACAGTATCTTCACCAGATCAAAACCATCATAGATAACATCAGCTCGGCCGGATCAGTGATTGATCAAGAAGATGTTCTTCTATATACGATGAATGTCTTGCCTCCATCATATAATGCCCTCAAGACTACCATTCGGGCAATGCATAACCCCATGGATCTTGACACACTGTACTCATTACTGATAACCGAAGAAATAAATCTTCAATCTGAATCGGCTCGTCAAAATCTTCTCGGCGATTCGTCCACTGCTCTATACTCAAACAGGGGACGTGGCCGGCGGGGCCGTGTTAGATCTTCTACACAGCAAGCCAGATCCACCAATCAAAATATACCTCAATGTCAGATTTGTAGAAAAAGAGGACATCTCGCACACAACTGTTGGCAGATCTCAAGCCAGATTAAACATCTCTGTCAATCCTCCCGACCCGACGACTTCAAATATCTCAAGCAGAGCAATGGTCGCAGCTACAGACAACGACAATCCGGACTGGTAACTTGATTCGGGCGCTTCAGC